TGGCTACAATAGGCTCCCGGGGGCTATGCATCAGGGATACCGTATGGGGTCGCCGCGTGTTTTATCCTCCACACGAGGGTGAGGATACATCATAACGGGGAAGCGGAATAAGGAGAACACGTTGGAGGAAAGGGGGGGGGGGAGCGGACAAGAAAAGAAAAGAAAAGAAAAAAAAAAGCCAAAGATAATCTACTAGAGGAGGAAGGGGTGTGGGATGTATATGTACGCGCGCTCATTACGTGTGTTATAATACACTCCATATCCCCGTTACGTCGGCGAAGATAATGTACCTACGTAACGGGCTATACGTATGGGTGTACCGATGTGCAGTATGTAGGTACGAGTGTGCGCCCGCAGCGATGTTTGTCCAAGTGCGATTATTCGCCTCCTATTCTTTGCGCCGCGTCCCGGGAGTGTGTGTAAACAGCGCGGCCAGGGCCTGCTGGAAAAGGATTGGCTACCCGCCAACCGTGCACAGAGTCGTATTGCATTGTGGCTCGTTGACGCTGCTCTTGTTTATTCATGAAAATTTGAGAGAACGGGGGACAGGCTGTAGGTATTATATGTACGGTGGACTTATACACCGGTGGACTCTCCGAGTCTCGGGGCGATTTTTCGCGACGACGTTGTTAATCGTCCCATCCGCGCGAATAAGGATGTTTCGGTGTGGGAAAAGGTGTTCACCTAGTGGATGTTGTCAGTGGCGCTTAATTAATTATTCCGGTCTTACATTACTGGCAACGCTTTAGTCATATGAACTTCCCAACGGTGTACAAACAAAACATCGGATCGCCCCCTTCCAGCTACAAATTAGAGGGATGACCTCTATCCATCCAATTACTCCCACAGAGTAACGTCGCGCACGGAAGGGATGCGACCGGACGAGGTGTAGTGCGTCTTGGAGCACTTACGCTCCGACCCCTGCTCCGTACTTGAGGGCACTATATACTCTATATATACATATACACGCGCACACAAATATTATGCAGTTCCGTGTCCATAATCGTAACGAGAGAGTGGTCCACCGTATATACATCTATTACGCTTGTACACGACCCAGGGATTATGTCATTGCATCCTTGTACACGAGCCGCGAAACATGGAGAGACGGGCGCGACCTTTGCCTCGGTGGCTCATTGCAGCAACTCAAGGATGGCGATGTCAGTACGGCGAAATAAGCGAGGCCAAGGCGTGCATCGATCATCCATTGGCAAAAGAGGGAGAGAAAGAAAAAGTATATAACACGAGGCTGTTACGCCCAAGTGCATGAGAGTACACCGATAATAAGCATACATACACGTGTACGTGCAATTTCCGGGGGCGCTCGAAAATCAGCCGTCTCCGCATTATATTACGGCAGAGTTGATGGCCCGCCCGGAGGTGAGGCGCGGTGGAGATGGCTTTATTAAATACATTTCAGGGTACGGGAAGTCGGGTAAGGGACGGGATGTATTTTTTTTTTTTTTTTTGTATCGGAGGACAGGCAAATGAGCTGCGCGTGACGAATTTACGCGGAGGGCAAAGCAAAGCCATCAGACGTGATCCAACCCTGCTGAGCATAACGAGATCCCTGCCTAGTTTCGTTCTCCTCGCCCGGTAGCGTAAGGACGATCGGAATCAAGAATAAAATAAAACACGACGTGTAGCTGCCGTAGGTACCATCCCTCTGGGGGGAAGAAATCGAGGTATAGCAGTGACTGTATACGCGTCAGGGTATAAACTTCCAAGATTACAACACTTGTTAGCTGGCCCCGTAACTTTTCGCCGGTTCCCGAAGCTCGAGGACAAACTGAGGCTCCCCTCTCTATACCTATGTATCCACGCACACGGTTTTACGTGCCCTCTGGGCTCTTTTGTCGCTTCTGAGCGCCTAAATTTCACTGCAACTCATTTTCCGTGCTTTCGTCTCGTCTTGGGAGTATAGGAATGGTTCGGTGTACGTGTCGACCTGGTGATTAACAAATTTATAAGAAAAAAAAAAAAAATAAATAAATAAATAAATCCCGCCCCTGGAGTATAGAAATGAGAATCAAAGGCTACGCGCAGTACTTTATGAAGAACATTCAATCAGCCTTGGGTTCCGAGTAATAAAAGCGAGAAAATCGTTTCGTGGAAAATTTCCATACGATCGGAGGAAAATTTACGCCATCAAGACTCTTCCCCCGGAAAGTACATAAATCTCGTGCCTGTATTGAAACGTAAAAGTCCGCCCGATGTATACGTATACATCATAATAGTTCCCAGGGGAAATGGAGGAGTTGCACCGATAGGTGTACTTTTGTACACACGCAATTCTTGACGCGAGCGAAATAATCGAGCTTCAAAAAAAAAAAAAAACAAGTAAAATCCGCTTTTTAGCATATTAACAGCTTTTTCCGGCAAAGCTCCCTTTTTTGCTGCGTTTTTTCTCCTTCCGTAATTTATCCGACGTTTCTCTTTTTAAAAAGCAAAAGGTGTGCGCTACCGTAAATTGTTTCGGCTCTATAGGCAGGCCCTTAAAAACGCAGGGGAAGGGAAAAAAAAAAAATATGGCTCGAGCGCGCACTAAATTCAGTGGTGTCAAAAGCACCGACGACACGAACAGGGGCCATACAGTGAACGAGCGAGTCATGGAGCTGCGGTAGTGCAGAGGTATAGTATCGGTATATCCGGCGTGTACGAGAATTGAAAGGAGCCACATTTATCAGCAGCCGCGGAGCAGCTAGTTCCCTATATGTATTATATACACCTACTTGCGGTCACCTCTGCTTCCTTCCGTCCCTTACGTGTGGGTGCACATATATATATAGGTACACTCGATCTCCCCCTGAGCACATATATACTCTCGTAGGTATGTCGCCTAACGATTTCTCCTGCCCCACATGTAATCGTAATATATACGCTGTATACGTGTGTATGGCATTTAAAACTGCATCAATATTATTGTACAACCATGGGCATTTCGTAATTCCTAACGAAACGATCGAGCCGATGAAATGTGATACATCCCCCTATACCAAAGCGCGCTCAGCTGCAACAAAATACGATCTCGAGAGCACGACTGTAATTAAAGAAAAAAACTCCATCGGCCAAGCAAATAATGAAACGACAGATCTTTTTTCCTTTGTACGCGTTTATTATATGTATACACGTATGACCCACAAGTGCATGAAAGAACGAATCATAATTCCTCGGTCTCTCATTCTCCGCCCCGATAAATTGCACCCGATATTCCATTGTCCTCCTCCACATGACTATCTTGGTCGCATCTTAATGCCTCGGCAGTATTGTGTATACACACGTTCATCGACACCTCGTTGTCGCCGTGTAAACTCCATTTGCACTTGATTTCACAACACCGTCTGCGGTAGATTTATCGACTCGCGAATGTACCGCGACGGACGAGCTCGTTGTCGCGCTTTACGATTCTCACGAGTGTCAATACGCGGTTGTGACCCCCCCACTGGTGAACATCTCTGTTAGAAATTTATTAATTGTATCAGTTGTACGTACACCCCGCGTTATAATGGGATACCTCGTTGGTAACGATACTCGCGTAACTTGCACGTATTTTATGTCCACATGTGGCCTCTCGGGGGAGGGCCAAATTTACCCCGACTATTTCAATTCTCGGGACCGTCGAGTCAATATTTCAGCTTCAATTAGCGCGAGGGCAATATAAACGCGATAAATGGAGATAATTATAATAAAATCGATGACGGCAACAGCACATGGCACAGCCGGGCCAAGGTAAATGAACGCCACTCGCGTACTTTTGTGGATCCACGCGATTACTCGTCAATACAATTGTATTAAAAACTAATTGACGAATCTATGGATAAAAGACTTTGTCTGATGTATCTACTTTTTTTTATTTATTTATTTTTTTTTGTCTCTAAACACAGACAAGCACAAGGCCCGATACGACTTGTATCTGGGCGACGCGCCCGGCGACGACATACTCGGCAGTCGGTCGAGGCGCCAGAAGCAGAAGCAGCCGAAGAAACAGCAACGTCCGAAACTCGACGCCCTGGCTAGGCTCAATGCGACCTTCGTTGCTACCATAGATGCGAGCTGTTACGGCAAACTGAGGGCCGGGAAAGGCCCCGTCAAGCCACCCGTTGTCGACCACGCTGTCTCTACCAAGTTCGTCAGGTGGGCCGGACTTTGGTTTCTTTCCAAAGATTTGTTTTCACCCATAACTGAATTGTAGCAATTGTTTCCGTCATTGAAGCACCATATGAACGCAAAAACTTGTATACGCTTTTATTTTGCGTTATCAGCGATTGGAAAAAAAGAAACTGATCGGAAAATGCATCTCTATCGTGCTATCGTTTACAAACGTTTATGTTGAAAAAAAAAAAAAAAAAAAAAAAAATTAAATTGTATCTCTGCGGAAGCAGTGAGCAGTTTTATCTCGACAGCAAAATGAAAAAGTAAGAATTTCGTGTGTTTGTTTTCCCAGGAAAAATACTGCCGAGCCTAACAATAGATACCAGATGGTAGTTTACGAGTGCGACGAGGGATTTGCACTGAGGAATCCCGAGCAAGACCGGCTCTACTGTAGCTCGGGCACGTGGCAAGGCGCTAGGCCTGAATGTGTGAAAAATCAAGGTACGCGTATACAACATATATATATATATAGTGCTGAATCCCGTGAAAAATCCAAAATACATAATCTCTGACAGGCTCATACAAATCGGCACAGCAATTTCATCTTATGTCGTTGAACGTTCAAGAATGTGGGTTTAGTGAAGGAATTATTTGTCACTGTATTTCGGATAATAGGGCAAAAAACCATATAATATAATATATCTCGCGTATACTTGTAGACTCATAACTAGAGCAGAGATTAGCAGTAGTGTGTGGATGTATAACAATTGAGTCGACGGAGACCCGAGTATGATATTTTCAGATGTCGCGAGAGGAGAGGCCGAGAAGCTGCCGACAAACGGGAGCAAGAGAAGATGCGCCAGCGAGAAAAACGCCTGCGAACAAGTCTGCCTTGACGTGGACGAGGGCATCGAGTGTTCCTGCTTCGACGGCTACCGCCTCGACGGATCGTCCTCTTGCGCTGGTGAGACAAATAGTTTTTTCGGTCAATCAACGGACACCGATATCGTTTCAATTAACCACCCCCTTTTTTTCCCCAATCGAGGCAAGTACATGGGGGGAAAAAAAGCGCGAATCATCGAAAATTTTCACTGGACGATTGGAAGCCGTTGTCTCAGCCCAAAGACCAGCAGACTCCGCGAGAGACGCCTCGGCAATCGGAAAAAGTAATCAGAGCCAATCGCCGGCGGGCTGTAACGATCGATCGCGAAATTAAATACGCTCCCAGTCGGCAAACCCAATTTTCCCGGGAAACACGTTTTCTCGCTCCCAATAGTTTTTCTCCTTCTTTTCTCTCTCTTTCTTTGTTGTTGTTTTTTTTTTTTTTTTTTTTTTTNACATACACGTGTACGTGCAATTTCCGGGGGCGCTCGAAAATCAGCCGTCTCCGCATTATATTACGGCAGAGTTGATGGCCCGCCCGGAGGTGAGGCGCGGTGGAGATGGCTTTATTAAATACATTTCAGGGTACGGGAAGTCGGGTAAGGGACGGGATGTATTTTTTTTTTTTTTTTTTTTTTTTTTTTTTTTTTTTTTTCACGTTTTTGTTTCGGCGGATGGATAAATATGACTTTTCCATTAATCCTCGGGTCGTCGCTTCTCGCGACACCTGTGCACGCAGGCGTTGCGCAATAATCTGAAAGGCCGACAGCCCCGTGAAATTAATGGAAGCCGATACTCACTCATCCACTGATCATCCAAAAAGTAGAGGTCTACTTTGAGCCATCGCTAATAAACGCAAATGACGTAATATTTTTACGAGAAACCATCCACCGAGAGACACTAAAACCGGAATAATCTCGGCGAGGCCTCGTTGACGAGTATAGAAGCGCGTCTGCATATAACGCGAGGGATTAAGTGATTCGACCGCGAGAGAAAAGCGAATGTGGCTTAATGACTACAGCCTTTTTTTTTTTTTTTTTTTTTTTTTTTATGGGAAATTTTAAGAGCCACGGCACTTTTGTGGATTAATGTCGCAGACGTACATGGGCTGCGTACGTACGTTTTAGATTGAAGCGCGTGTAGCAGGAAAAAAAAGGGTAATCGTAGCAGTTGGTAGATAAAATCTTGTGGGACGATTTACTCGGGACGAAAAAAGTACCGCCGGAAATTGGACTCGGTGCCATAATGTACATTCATGTACACATGGAGGAAAGTGGAGCTGGCGTGGGAGTAATTTTTTTTTTGTTTTCATATTAATATCCTCGCGGTAAATATTTCCTGTTGCAGATATCGACGAGTGCGCCGAGGGCAGATCTGGATGCTCGCACGTGTGCCGGAACGACCGTGGCTCCTTTCACTGCGACTGCCCGCCCGGCTATCGATTGGCCGACGACCACAAAACTTGTAAAGGTACACAACTCGACGCCCAATGTGCATGTAACCCATAATTGTAATGATCATAGAGACAACATGTTCGACTCCCAAATCGTCATTTAGTGACAGTTGATGTACCAAGATACGAAAAGTTGAACAAAAAAAAACAAAACGCAAAATTAAAACCAATGAAATAGCCATTTAGGTATAACTGATGCGCTCTCGAACGCAACCGTGTTAACGTGCATGATATATACTCTTGGGCGCAGATATCGACGAGTGCGCTTTGAACGATGGACACGGGCCGTGCGACCGGATATGCAACAATCTGGCGGGTGGTTATGAGTGCAGCTGCAGCGACGTTCCGGGCTATAAATTGAAGGCGGACAATCACACTTGCGAGGACGTAGACGAGTGCGCCGACAACAATGCCGGCTGCTCGCACACCTGCGTCAATACCCCCGGAAGTGCTTTTTGCATTTGTCCCAAGGGCCACTACCTCGGCAACGATTATAAAACGTGCGAAGGTAACGTGTAACAACAAGCGCTGCTTTGATTGACGATGTCAATATGTTTTTTTTTTTCCGTTTCTATTCCGTCAGACGTCAACGAGTGCAACGCCACGGAGCGGGTGTGCAAAGAAAAAACGGAGGATTGCGTCAACTTGGAGGGCTCGTTCAAGTGCGTGCCCAAACTAAAGAAGAAAACGAAAACCCTCCCGGAGGAGGATTACGACTCCGAGGAGGACGAGGAGGAGGAGGACGATGACGAGGACGACAACGAAGACGACGAGGACGAGTACGACGACGAGAGCATCACCGAATCCTCGGACCCCCTGTACGAGTCGTGCGAACTGGGATTCAAGAGGGACGAGACCGGCGAGTGCACTGGTATATTATACGCAACTATACAACCCCATAATACCCCGATACCTCTAGTTAACGTCTAAAATGCGAAATGGCGTGTTGTCAGACATCAACGAGTGCGAGGAGGACGACGGAGGTAGCCACGGGTGCGACCACACCTGCCGGAACCTGGTCGGCACCTACTTCTGCGACTGCAGGCCCGGCTACGAGCTGAACAAGGACGACTCCACCACGTGCACGGACGTGGACGAGTGCGCCCGGGTCCCGAAGCCGTGCTCGCACACCTGCACCAACACCGACGGCTCCTTCGCGTGCTCGTGCCCACCGGGCCGCGCCCTCGACGAGGACGGGGTCACGTGCAAGGAGCCAAACGAGACGTGCGCCACCACGAGGAGCCACCCCTGTTCCCACGAGTGCCGGGACACGCCGGCCGGTCCCACGTGCGTTTGTCCGGCCGGCCACGAGCTCGCCGCCACCGACAACGCCACCTGCGTCGACGTGAACGAGTGCCTCGGGCCCGAGCATGGCTGCACCGAGGAGTGCGCCAACGAGGTCGGCAGCTACAGGTGCATATGTCCGATGGGCTGGTACCTACGGGAGGACGGCCGCACGTGCGAGGACGTCGACGAGTGCGCCGAGCACCACTACTGCGCCCACAAGTGCACCAATACCCGGGGCTCGTACCGGTGCGACTGTCCGGCTGGGTATCTACTGGGGGACGACAGGCGCAGCTGCGAGGACATTGACGAGTGCTCGCGGGGCATACACGAGTGCTCCCACACCTGCCACAACGAGAACGGCACGTACAGTTGCTCATGCCCCGGCGGCACGACCCTCGCCGTGGACAGGAAGACGTGCGAGCCGGCCACCTCCTGCGAGACGCTCAACTGCTCTCAGCGCTGCGTCGAGTTTACCCACCGGTGCGAGTGCTCATTGGGTTACACCCTGCTGATGGATGGCAGAAGTTGCGAGGACGTGGACGAGTGCGGGCTTGTAGGGCATGGCTGTTCGCACGGTTGCATCAACGTCCCGGGGTCGTACAGGTGCGCGTGCCCGGAGGGCCTGATGCTCGACACCGACGGCCGCTCCTGCAGGACCTACGAGCCTTGCGCCAACTCGTCGTGCGCCCACAACTGCGTCAACACGCACGGGTCGTACGTGTGCACCTGCAGGCCCGGCTACGAGCTGGAGATGGACGGTAACGGCTGCAAGGACATCGACGAGTGCATCGGCACCAACCACGGCTGTAGTCACGAGTGCGTTAACCGAGAGGGTGGCTACGAGTGCGCTTGTCCGCGGCGATGGTTCCTGGGACCGGACTCGCGGACCTGCCTCCTCGACGAGGACTTTTGCTCGAGGCGGCACGGCTGCTCCCACACCTGTGAGGAGGACAAAGACAACCAAAACAGCGTGAGATGCGGCTGCCCGGAGGGCTACGAGCTCTCCGAGGACGTGAAGACCTGTCGGGACGTGGACGAGTGCGCCGAAGGCTCGCACGCGTGCTCGCACAACTGCACCAACAGCCCGGGCGCGTACGAGTGCCGGTGCAACGCGGGCTACGAGCTCCTCGACGACCGATACACCTGCAAGGACGTCGACGAGTGCCTGCTCGGGCTGAACGACTGCTCGGACCTGTGCGCCAACACCGAGGGTGGCTACGAGTGCGCCTGTCCCGGTGGCTACCGGCTCAACGACGACCGGACCACTTGTGCCGACATCGACGAGTGTCTCTTGGGTGGTCACGGGTGCTCCCACAACTGTCGGAACACCGCGGGTGGCCACGCGTGCCACTGCCCCGAGGGTTTCGCCCTGAACCCGGACAACAGGACCTGCGCGGAAATAACCAAGGCCTGCAGCCCAGGACACGGCTGCTCGCACGGGTGCCACGTGGTGGACGGCAAGGATACGTGCGGCTGTCCATTGGGTATGGAGTTGCTCGGTGACGGCCGCACGTGTATGTTGTTGGACAAGTGCTCGAGCGACAATGGAGGCTGCTCCCACGAGTGCGAAGACGTGCCGGGTGGTGTTGCTGGGGTACGGTGCAAGTGCCCGGGTAATTTGCACCTCCTCGACGACGGCAAGTCCTGCGTCGAGGTGAACGAGTGCCTGATCGACAACGGGGGCTGCTCGCACTCCTGCCACCACCACCGGGAGAACGGTAGCGTGTCCTGCGGCTGCCCCGACAACATGGTCCTGGATGGGGACGAGCGCGGGTGCGTCTACGTGGGCCAGTGCTCGAGGAACAACGGCGGCTGCAGCCACGCCTGCGAGATAAACGACAATGGCGCGGTCGCGTGCAAGTGCCCGGCTGGCTTGAGACTCGGCCGGGACAACGCGACATGCGTCGACGTGGACGAGTGCCTCGAGGGCAGGGCCAACTGTAGCCACGGCTGCGCCAACACGTACGCCGGCTACGAGTGCACGTGCGACCCCGGCTACGCGGCCAACCCCACGGACAACGCCCTCTGCGAAGACGTGAACGAGTGCTTCGCCAACAACGGCAACTGCTCGCACGTGTGCGCCAACACCGCCGGTGGCTTTACCTGCGGCTGCTTCCCCGGCTACGTCCTGGCCGAGGACGGGTTCGCGTGCGTCGAGTCCAAGGCCTGCGCCCGCAACAACGGGGATTGCTCGCACTTTTGCCACGTCGACGGTAGCACCGGTGCCGCGTCGTGCTCGTGCCGGCCGGGTTTCACTCTCCGCTCGGACGGCAAGAGCTGCGAGGACGTCGACGAGTGCGAGGAGTTCGAGAACGACGTGCACGCGGGCTGCTCCCACAGGTGCGTCAACCTCGAGGGTGGCTACCACTGCGAGTGCCCGGACGGCCAGGTCCTTCTACCCGAGGACAACCGGACCTGCGTCGACGTGGACGAGTGCCACCTCCGCCTGCACAACTGCACCCACGGCTGCGCCAATCTCCCCGGGGGCTACGCGTGCACCTGTGACCTGGGCCATTACCTCGATCCCGTGGACAACCGAACGTGCCTCGACGTGGACGAGTGCGCCCGCGACAATGGCAACTGCACCGACGCGTGCGAGAACACCGTGGGGGGTTACCGGTGCCACTGTCCCGTGGGTTACCAGCTCGACGACGCCGACGGCAGAGGCTGCGTCGACGTGAACGAGTGCGAACTGGGTACCGGGTGCTCCTTCGAGTGCCTCAACACCCCGGGCTCGTACCGGTGCCTCTGCCCGGATGGCAAGGTCCTGGCCAACGACTCGCGAGCTTGCCTGCCCGCGTCCAACGACGTTGAGGGCTGTGGCCGGGACAACGGGGGCTGTTCCCACGGGTGCCGCGCCGACGATGAAAAAGGGGGCTTTGGTTGCGCGTGTCCGTTGGGCATGTACCTGGACCCGGGGGACAACCGGACGTGCCTCGACGTGGACGAGTGCGCCCACGGCAATGGCAACTGCACCGGCGTCTGCGAGAATACCGTGGGGGGCTTCGTGTGCCGGTGCACGGGGGGCTACGAGCTCGATCTGGAGGGCGATGGTTGCGCGGACGTGGACGAGTGCGCCGTGGACAGAGGGGGCTGCTCCCACGAGTGCGTCAACACCGAGGGGGCTTATCGCTGCGGGTGCCCGTCCGGGTACAAGTTGGGGGTGGACAACAGGACTTGCGAGGACGTGGACGAGTGCCTCGAGGGTAGGGCCAACTGCAGCCACGGCTGTAGAAACGCGGAGGGTTCCTTTAGCTGCGAGTGTCCAGTAGGGGAGCGGCTGGGGGCGGACGGTAGGGTGTGCCGGGCGGAGGACCCGTGCTCGTTGGGTAACGGTGGGTGCGAGCAGGTTTGTCGGATCGACGGTGGCCGGGCAGTTTGCGAGTGTAGGGCTGGTTTTTACGCGCTCGAGGGGTCGAACGGGTCAAGGTGCGTCGACGTCGACGAGTGCTCGGGGAGCCACGGGTGCGATCACAACTGCGTCAACACGCACGGGTCGTACGAGTGCAGGTGCAGGACCGGCTTCGAGCTGAGGGACGGCGCTTGTGTCGGTGAGTGCAGTTTGTTGGACAATATGGGTCTCGCTTGGGAGTCCGGGGCTGAGATTAAAAATGCTTTTCTATTTGTGCAATTACTTCATCCCGACAATTAGCCGCGACACTTTCGGTGCTGCTGTAACTGTCCTTTTGATACGCCCTGATTACATATAGTTGTGTCGAGCACCTTTCAGCCCCGCTCTCCTCCGTGTTATTTTTAAAAATGATGATTTGATGGATTTTTTTTTTTTTTCATCACGTGTAGATATCGACGAGTGCGTCCAAAACGTTCACTGCGAGGGCGGCTGTGTCAATACCCCCGGTTCCTATAGGTGCGGGTGCAACGCTGGTTTCAGGAAGGAAGCGCACGGCTGCGTCGGTTGGTATTACTATACACTTGACGAGGACGAAAAGCCAATGAAACTTAATCATTTCAGACATCGACGAGTGCCAACGCGACAACGGCAATTGCGAGCAGATCTGCATAAACGGCCTCGGTTCGCACGGGTGCTCTTGCTATCCGGGTTTCTACGTGGATCGAAGGTAACGATGATCACGACCCGTCAAACCGCAAAGTTGTGAATTTGTTTTTTTTTCTTTTTTTTTTACCCCAGAAATTCGAGCCAGTGCGTCGACGTAAACGAGTGCCTGTACCGTAACGGTGGCTGCAACGGTGACTGCATCAACACACCCGGGAGTTACTACTGTGTCTGCGCGGACGATTTAGTGCTCGCCGTCGACGAGAGGACTTGCGTATCAAAGTCGAGTACCCAGAGGTGCCCGGCGTTACTGCAACCAACGTACGGCGAAGTGAGTCCCTCTCTGCTCCGCATTATTTTTTTGTTTTTGTTTTGCTCAAACATATACATATCCACGACGACTACTGTTATCCTCGTACAGATAAGGTGTCCGGGTCACCCGTCCGAGTCCCCGGATTATCCGGTCGGAGCCGAGTGCCACATAAGGTGCAGAAGAACATTTAGACTGGAGGGCTCTTATCTGCGGACGTGTGTGGCCGGAGGCCACTGGGACGGCCAACAGACCATCTGCGTTCGGGACTACGCGTCCGAGGCACGTCCCTACTACACCGGTAATGATATGTATCACTTGTTATACATGTACGATTTTCAAAGGGTGGACACCCGATGGTGGTTCAGTCCGAGTTGGGTATAACAATCGATTGGTAAAAAACCGACGAACCCGGTGTATAAGCTCAGCCCGTGGATCCTTTGTGACGCGTTAAAGAGAGCCTCGCGGTGGCTGCTGTCTTACGTGCACAGCCATACTAAAGAGAGCCCCATACGTTAACGTCACTCCCCAATGAGTTTACTCTCTCCCTCTTTTTTTTTTTTTTTTGCACCTTTCTTTCAAAGTCTCCTTCGTGGACACACATACGCTCTCAATCCGAAAGCCCGTATTTTCCTTGGTTCGCTTTTTCCTCTTTTGCGCGCTCGCCGGAAAATTCTCTCGCGAAAAGCCCGCGCGCTCTCATTGTTTCGGATAACGAGCGCGAGAGGGTTTTGCTCCGTCGCGGATAAAAGGAAGCTCATCCCCGTCTATTTTACGCGGACGTTTTGTCCCTTCCCCGCTATTCCATCGCCTTTTTTTTNCCAGATATTAAAACCTCAAAGTAAATCCCTGGTGTTATAGAGCCACGTGATACGCGTATACAATATCGGCTCGTAAATTCATAAGCGTAAGCTCGGAATGTTTTGTCCCTTCCCCGCTATTTTAGTTCCTTTTTTTTTTTTTTTTTTTTCCTTTTTTTTGCTCGTATACTACACGGACGGGCTTTTTCCTCTTCTTCGCTGTTTCGTCCTAATACTTCGATCACCTCCCAATGAACCGAATTTCCTTACCCTCACCGACCCTAATTACAACGCCTCGGAAGAACTATACATTGAGAACCAAAGTTGCGCAACAATTAATTTCAAGTTTAATTAATCACCGGTTGTATAAACATTACGCGAGTTAATCATCAAGCTGAGCAGTTGTTGGGGAGTCTAGTAATACCCTGGTGTACCATTTTCGTTGACACAAAGAGAACGTTTACAGCCCCATCATCATGACGTATACGTATACCATGTCGGTGGTAAAAAACTTTTGCCCTGGTATTTGGAAGCTGCACGTATTGGGTTTTGATGGAAGACAGTGGCCGTTATACCGGAAATATACGTTTCCACTCGCGGTCACCAAAGAGCTCGCGTGATAAATCACGAGAGCTGTAGGTGTTAATTTTGTTGTTGTTTAATTTCAGCCGCTACGACTACCCCGGCACCGAGGCCCTACATAAGGTGTCCCGGTGACGTGGACGTGGAGCTGCCTGCGAGGCGCAGCACTGCCAGGGTGTCCTTCGCACAGCCAAAGACCAACGTCGATTGGTACAGGTGAGAAGAGGCTCACGTATATACCTATTCATAGGTTTTTTTTTTTTTCTCACCAAAGGTATACTCGTGCGAATCGGAATGTCCAGTGCAGTGACACTCGACGACACTGGCGCAAAAGTGCTGTCAGGTGCACTGCGAAACATTCATAGTTATATATATATGTCGTGTGCTTCTTTGTCCTCTTGGTACGGCGGAATCTTCCCCTCTGTTTTTTTTGTACTGCCCTCGAGGGTCGCGTCGAAATCAAAGGATATGCCCTCTCGAGTCGTGCCGATCGGTCAGCGCGCGGGTATACACACTCCGTCATCGTTCGCCGCGCACCTTTTACAAGTGTATCGATCCCCCAAGTGTTGGGGCACAATAGCGCCTAGCGAAAAAAAAAAACAAAAAGTTTTTGCTTTTCTCTCTCCTCCACCCCTGGAATTTTTTTTTTTTTTTTTATTTGCACACGACGCGATCGGCTGGATATTTATATTCCAAGCACAGGAATGTCAAACTTGACAGAGACGATTTTTCGATGCGTCCGCGCGAGCTTATTGAAGATCGGTCTTTGGTGTCCCGGTGGGATCGGCTAGGATTATGTTTTCTTTAAGCCTATACTTTTTTTTTTTTTTTTTTTGTCTCGTTCGTACTTTCATTTCAGTTGTCTAGCTCGTGTGGTGGAAAAATCAAACGATTTTTTTGGTTATTGTTACACAAACAAATAAGTAAACTTTTAATTTGTTTCCCAAACAGGTATGTGGACGCCTCACCGCTGTGGGGCAAACAACTGCAGGCAGACTTGTCGCCCAGCACGACTTTCCTCACTTTCACCGCGTGGTCTCCCGCTTCTAATTACACCAGCGTCTGTCGCATGATGATACGAGTTCGCGGTGAGTATTTGTGGTTCCCCCTTTGAGTATTAGCTGTACACCCTTTCTTTTTACGCGATCTTCTCTATGTTACAAATCTGTTCAATTTTAAACTTAAAGAATCTGTTTGAATTAAAAATCACTGTTTCTGTCAGCTGCATTAAATACAAATGTCGTGTTTACTTTTAATGGACCTACATTATCGCTCATTTCGCGATATCTCAATTACTGACGGAGATACGATTTTTAAAGTTTATACTATTTCTTTAACTAAAAATTTTTAATTTTTAATAATATCTTCGTCTTGTAGTAGTTCATAGTGACACAGTGCGCTGTGTGAAAGGTTATTTGAATAGTTTAAATGATTTTTAAAACGATAGCCAGGGCCTAGCATTCGCGAATAAGAAACAAAATAAATTTTTAAGAATTTTAATGAACCATAACTATTGCTCTTTTGATATCCTTATTATTCATGGAGATACGGGCGTTTAAACTTTGTTCTCTTTCATTAGCCAAAAATTTTGAATTTAATATAATTCGTTGTTTAATACACATTTGTTGGTTACACATGGTTTGCGCAAGTTACATTATTATCAAAAATACACAAATCTTGTACTTTTTAGCCCTACGCTAACTATTATTATAGACAAAATTTCTTACTACCTTCCTTTTGAAATTCATAAAAAAAAAAGGAAGCTGTATTCAACATCACGATGCTGCACTCAAATGCATCCGCATTGTGATGTTAATTCGACGATGAATACATCGGCAAGTTTTCGGCCGTCTAGTTCCGAACAGAGAACAGACAGGCCTGTCCGAAGATGAAAGCTTTCGACGCTCCTAGGACGAAAAATACCGGTGAAACGTGACCTCCCGTCGAATCCGATTTTCCGAGAGAAAATCAACGCCCAAGTGCCGCCTGTACGAGCATCAATTACGGTCGGAAAAACTTGCCGCTCTAAAAATTCTCGAGAGCCCGCTTAGCTCCCTACAAATCTCTCATCACCAACATCACACATGTAGACCATAAAGATACGTCAAGCCGCACAGCAGAGCGCGACACCACCACCAGCCCGATTAATCAATCCGCATGGCTATAGCCGGGTGAATAATAGCGTCGTTGTTGAGCGTGAGGGGGTGTACGCACGCCTACTTCTTCCCTTCCCCTGAAGCACGTGTCCGGGCACGAGTGAATTATAGGCCAGACCGAGCGACCGCTGGTTACGTGCGGTGGACGGGTGTCCGGTGCTCCTTACACCCGCTTATTGGGCTAACGCTAAACGCTCTAATTTACGAATTGGGGAGAATTTTCGCTGCGCGTTTTTCGGGTGTAATTCAACGCGACTCGTTAATCGCGCCTTTGAACGGGATCATCTCAAAGGGGTCTCGTTAAATTTCACGAGCTTACATGTATGTCGAGCACTCGCAGTCGAGTGAGCGATAACATGAGCCCAAAACCCTTTGCGCGTTATTAACTCGTGGAAGCTGCAACTCTTTGAAAGAGTGTATTTTCCAAAGGGGAGGAAAAATTAACTTTCAAAGCGAAATCTCCTTGAAAAACCTTGATTTTTAAACCGCAATTCAATCCGTTATGTATACAAAGTTGAAACGAAAAGGACAGAAAAACGCCGTTCGCCTTAGGAATTGATTTTGAACATTTAACCTCAAGTGGGACGCCATTGAATAGTTCGTGTATCAAGAGGGTTGATTATCCGTTCCGCCGCACACGATCCAAGCCATCTCGAACTCCCGTGATATCGCTCCCCGCAAGCTCTTAGATTCAAGTTGTTGGGCGTATTATACGAGCGCAGAGATGTATGGGCAAAGGTATATCAAGATATGGCAGAGCCAAGATTTTCGTAGAGTCCCTCGGTTGGTTAGTTAGCAGTAAGTACCTAGATTAGTTGTACATATACCTACCGAGCACCGCAGATAGTATCAGATCCTGGGATTGGAACTTTGTCCTATTATACGTGTATACATACCTGTAGGTAGACGTACAGGGGCTGCTTGATCACTCATCTCGAGTGAGGGGGCGTGTATGGTTTAGGTGTACCTACACCGCTTCTCGCCAAATCCAAGCGCCTAATGCAATTAGTCGGAGCAAACTATCCCTCTCTGTCTCCCTTGTTGTATACTTGTACCTCTCGCGTACCCAAAAGGCAGGGGACATTTTTGGAAAAATTCAAAGCTTTTTCCGTTGTCCTTGATTTTGAGATAAAAAGTTTTTAATAATTTTCAGACACGGAGAAGCCAAAGATCCTCAGCTGTCCCGCGTCGTTCGACGTCAGACTCAACCCCGGCGAGCGCGAGCGCATGATATTCTGGCCCGAGCCGGTCTTCACCGACAACGTGCGCGTCGAGCGTACCTACAAGTCGAGGGTGAGTACCCCACACGTATGCACGTTTATCGTAACAATCAAGACGAGGCTATTTATACCCCCCCCCTCCCCTCCCCACCTTTGAAAATTCAAAGGCGGCATGTTGCGCGTTGCAGTTCTTCTCCTCTTCTAAAAGCTTTTTCCGGCTCGTTAGGACCATCTCTCCCGTTTCTTGCTGGTATAGCTGACGCGCGCACTTTGCTTCTTCCTCGCTCCGCTGCCCAACCGGATCTTCATTACCTTGGTTGTTTTTCCCTCCATCCGCGAGAACTCGTTTATTTAACGTTGTATAAACAACACACGGAGATCAAACGCTTATTAAACGTGAAATCCTCCCGATTAAAATTCCGCGAGTGTATCCAACCCGCCCCCCACGTCTGCGAAACGAGTAAAGTCTTTGTGTATGTGTGCGTGTCCCTATGCTCTCCATTGCGCGGTACAGAAACAGGGAGTTGCTCAACGGAGCGCAAAAGTAATCGAAAGGTATACTGGGTGCATACACCTGCTGGTCCTCCCCTCGTAATAACAATAACCGGCAACGGTCAAACTCCCTCGACGAGCTTCTCTCCCTCGTCTCATTTCCATCCGAAGGAGCACGGGAAAAGTAAGTTCCGGCCCGTGTACCAGTATACCTCCTATGCAGAGGTAGAGGAAGAGAGAGCCTTACCTCTTGAAAACAAAACTCGTCCCCCCGGAGGGACGCGCGCTCTTGCTCCTAGAGGGTTAATCATCGCGGTTCGGCTGATACGGCGATCGATAACGAGCCACTCGGTAATGCACACACCCCTTCCCCCCCTGTAAGATTGATTTTTGATGCGAGACTAGTCGAGCCGGGGTTGTTTTTTTTTCTCTTCCCTCCGACGTGCCGTTCAATCGCCTCTCGTATATACGCGTACATTGGAGGGGCCAATTATCCTTACGTTGTCTCGACTTTATCAAGGGGGTGTTTGCAGAGAGTCAATGTAACTCGGCAAATGAAACAAGCATCTGGTCCACGTGGTCGAGCGCATACGCACATGTACACATGTATAAACAAACAGAGCATCGCACCAAGGTTGTTCTATGCAATCGAGGAGGAGCGTGGCTTCGGGCTTATTCAAATCTTTGCTAACTATCGCGAACTTTGGGGTTCCCTCGCTGCAACTTCCCTCCGTAAATATGATTTCTGGGAGAGGAGGAGCTCTCCCCTTGCGGCGGAATTACATATATGTATACATTTATACCTTCCTCCCTTGAATCTTCGTGTTTACGTCCCTTGGCGTCCCGAACCAATTAGCCCCCCCCCCACACCTGTTTGTTGTACAATGGGACAAGAGTGTGGCTGTCGTATGATCAAAGTTACAGGGTGCGTGAGTTATTTAGTCGAATTGAGTAAGTTTTTGAATTGGTTTTGTTTTGCATGTGTTCAAAGGAGCCTGGCCAGTCGCTACATCCGGGTATGCACAACGTCCGCTACATTGCCTCGGATCCCTCCGGGAATCGAGCCGAGTGCCACTTCACCATACACGTAAGAGGTAGGTAGAACCCTATCTCACTTTTGTCACTCGATTATATTTCTTGTTTTTTTTTTTTGTTTTTTTTTTTTTCCTCCAATTCATCGAAAATTCGATAAAATCTAGGTCCTTTTTTCCCTCCCTCGAATGTTTCACAAATTCAGGTAAATTTATTCGTTTGCTCGAGAGAACGTGGGCGCGTGGGGGTAGGTTCGAGTGTCAGGTTTACTCGATATTTCGGAGGAGCAGACTCTCGCGCGAGGTGTACGTGCATCACGTCACGGTACGCACAGGATTACACGTGTGTGTGTGTGTACGCGAGTCTCTCGCGGGCTGTAGAGATTTGCAGCGGATACAACTGTATGTGATGGTTTCTAGGGTGGGTTCTTGAATTTTTCATTGCGCCCAGTACGTACCTACGTTTGCTTTTTATGGATGTTTCTGTCTTGCATCTCGTGTCGAGTGTTTTTTTTTTTTTTTTTTTTTTAAATCATTCGAATCCACGGAGAACTGGCTTTGAATTTTTTATTGTTTGTTGCAGAGCTATGGTCTGTTGGAAGAAACATTTGTACCGAGTATTTTTTGTTGACTTCTCTTCGATGCAACAACAAATAAAATAACACGCCGAACGCGTCGCAATGAAAAACCTTTATTTCAGAACATCAGGTTTTTTTTTAATCTATTTACGAAACGCATTGCAAGACATTTTTTTTTTTTTTTTTTTTCTTCAAACGAAAACTGTCGCAAAGACACAGAAAAGTGAAAGAAGACTATACGCGTCTCCGCGGCTGGCTGTAACGATGATTGGAAAAAAGAGAATAACCAAGCAACGGCAGCTCTCCCTCGAGGTGCATTATCCTCTTTCGCGACGACACGGGGGAGGGAAAGACACACACACACACACACACACACACACACATACACACAGACCCATTTTTCCTTTGTAGGTTGTACACCCCACAGTTCTAAAGAGTAATGCAATTCGCGCGTCTTTTTTGTCCAACAGAGCCCGAGCGACGAATACCATCAGCCGTGGGAGCGTTAGCTTCGGAACAGCAGCAGCAGCAGTCACCCCCGCCGTCCGAGGTAAGTCAAACGAGCTCGTTACTTTTCTTCTCGGAAAACTTTTCTCCTTTCATCCCCTTTCTCCCCATCGCCCCAGTCTCGTCGAACAAAAAAAAGCAAAAACAAAAAAAGACGTATCTTCCATTTCATCTCTCGGCTGGTGAACGAGCACTTTTTATTAATAACTTCTGTAGCCGCGTATATATCCCTATATACGTTTTTGCTTGTCATACATCGTGAAGTATGAATTTCCCTTCTTTCGCCGATGACACGTTTATTTTTATACATACCATAGATATTTATGACCGAGAGGGACGTGTTTGTCAGCACACATCGAGTGAATTCGTATAAACTCCCAACTTTTTGTCAATCCATACATCTTTATATACGAGTACGAACTTTTTCACCGAAAAGTACATTTGAACAACTTGCAGTCCCAAGCTCCGACCTACCAGAGAATGCTGATCTGTCCAAATCGACCGGCTCAGGAGGTTCCGCCGACGCACAGGGTAAGCATCTCGACGAGCGATATTTTTCAAAACCCATCGGTAGATCAATCACGAAAACAAAATATCACTCCCCCTTGCAAGCACATCCATTGTACTCGACCCATCCCCTAATTACACCATCATCCAACGTGGTGGATGAAATAAACAAGAGCTCGCACAAAAACAACATTTAATTCCCTCCCAATTACACCTACACTTGGATAAAAAAAAAAAAAAAAAAAAAAAAAAAAAAAAAAAAAACTCTCCTCCCCAACTCGCGTAAACAGCACGCGAGAGAAGCTCTCGAGCCACAAATTACCCCGCAGCATCTCGGGCGCAATTAAACCTCATCGAGGTGCCGAGGGTGATGGGTTTGCCGGGTGGTATCATCAAGCCCCCCCAAGGGCACCCATGCGAGTGTACACGTAAGCCAAAAACGTTGAACAAGCTTGATCAAAAAGTGGCAGATTCCGAGTGGCTGCTACATGAGGTACAGGCGTCTGTTTGGGGGCTCGTACACGCTGCGCCAGAGTTACAGCGTGCAGGCCTCGACGATGGGTCCGGTGGCCAGCCACTACCAGCGCAGGAGCGAGTACCACCGGCGTGGGCAGCACTACCGGCACTTCTCGGGTGCCTATCGCGACGAGGCTCGGAGGATAGCGGGCGCCCCGTCCCTCGATTCCGTGCAACACCAGCCGCACACGAGGGCCCATCCGCTCGTCAACTGTAAGTGTATGTGTTCCGATGAATATTTACAACATATTTGATTTTCAATTTCATATATATATATATCAGCATGAGGGTGCTCATGGCTGACTTTTACTTTTTGGGGTCTTGCTGTATTTTCTCTCTCCCCCCCCCCGTCTGAGCTTTCGAGGGTTTTGTCCTCCCCCTCGTTTGTAGCGCGGAGAGATGTGTCGATCGCGATGAGGAGAGCGACCGTGGAGCGGAACGACGGCGAGGAAAATTTTCCAACCAATCCTTCATATTACTTTGGGGCTCACGTTGACGCGTTTTTTGTTATCAAAGTTTCTTTTTTTTTTTTTCTCGATTCTCTAATTAATTTTACTACATGGAGATCTACACAGAGTTTGCTGATGAGTGATTTTTAATTTAAATATCAAGGTTTCGTGGGAAAATGGACAAATGGTTTCAAGGTAGGTGTTTAACGATGGCAATTTTCGTGACTCGTGTGATTGCAAACGGAGATATGTATGTAAAATCACGATTTCCCCTTTAAATAATTACGTATATACGCTCACGCACGTGCTGAATATCTACACCGATGAGGATCGTTTAGCCGATTTTCCGAAGTTTAACGAGCTCGCTGGTTTTCATTTCAACCTCGTGGTCCGTTTAAATTCGAGGCAATCCGGGAAATTAATTTAGGTAACGCTATGATGCTACGGCTTTCGAAATGTAATTTGAGGTCGAACCGGAAAACGCAGGCACCTCATGTATGTCCAATTAAAATTGTATCAATGGAGCACAGTCACGAGCGAGAAAAAAAAAAGTTTTTAAAAATCCCACGTATTTCTCAATCATCACGTTTTCGACCCCACGTCTCATTATCGGAATAGAAGTAAAAGAAAAAACTCTTCAACCCCAAGCAGAACAACTCGAAGCGCAAATAAAAAAAAAAACCTATACAATCCTTCTCGCCGCAGTATATCTCATACAGCGCTGAGGGAAAAACTCGTCCAGGAAACAAAAAACAAATCGTCGTGAAAAATGTCGCAAATATACATGACGTAACGCTTTATAACGGCTGAGTGCATGCAAAGGGCAAAAAAAAGGAGCTGTACGCGCGAGTTCGAACATATATGTATATATATGAATAATTATAACAACGCGCGATGCGTATTTCGTAATATTTGCGCGAGATGTTTCGTACTCCGGCTCGACAGCGTCGTCATTTCGGTTTGCTGAATGCAAGATTAAAACGCTCGCGTCGGAGTCTTGGGGGGGCTGGTTTATAGGGGGTGAAAAAACGCTTGAGCGCGAAAGACGCTAAAAGCTCGGCTGTATACTCACGAGAGTAGCTTTACCCTGCACTCGCGCTCACACACATACGTACGGGCGCGCGTGGTAATGTACGGCAGCCGACACTATAACACATAGAAGGTGGGGAACGGGCAGGAGGGGGGGGGGCAATGTAATATGCAACCGGCACGCGTGTATTTTTTCCTCTACTTGGATCCAGCTCTTTCCGCAACCTGTGCTACCATTACCTCGACGGCCCCTTTTTTTTCCCTCTCCCCCGTTACTTTTTTGTGTGTTATATGTATACCATTTTTCATGCGTCACGAGGGAGGGGATTTTCCAGCGTAAAGGGTTTTTTTTTCCGATTTCCGAGGGAAAATTGAGAATTCACCGTGCCCCTTCGCCGAAGGATAAGCGACGCTTGCGATAATCGCGATGAGAATTTAATACCAGCGCGCAGTTCAAACATCGAAGAAGACGAAAAAAAGGGCAAACTGTTGTACGTACTTGGCAATCGGCTGGAAGCGAAGAAAGAAAAGGCCGCCGCCTGATTGTACGTCCTACCCCTATGTTCGGCGAGGATTCCTCTGTTTGCCTGTTTCTTTCGAGCACTTTTCCCCGTCGCGTTTGACACGCGCGTCATTCACTTCGACCTGCAGCACGAAACTTTGTCGAAAAAACATAAACAGAAACAAAACAAACAAGCGACAGTTGGTAGCTCACTTCGCCCCGTTGCCTTAGCCGCTGCCTCAAGTGTACATAAAACAACGAAGAATTCTTTCCCGCGTGTCGCGGCTGCCGTGCGTAAGCGCGAGGCAATAAAAAAAAAAAAAAAAACCAAAAAAAAAACAAAAAAAAAAACAAAGAAAAAGTAGAAAATTCCCCGTGTCGAAAAATTACGAGTAACGCGAAGGAACACAAGCAGCAAATTGGGGGTCCGTCATGAGGCGGCCAGGACCAGGACGCTGGTCACTACCGGTGAGGCACTGCTCCTGAGGGTAGAACGCGCAGAGAGACATGTTCGGCCACTCGGCGTCGACGAGGACCGGGCTCCTTCGAACCTTCGGCCAAGTACCCCGGGCCGTCCTCGAGGGCGGCTTCGCCCTCCTCTTCGTGGCCCTGCTCGCCATTCCACTGTTCTCCCGGCTCCACCGCATGCTGGTACGTCACGGCTCGCCGCCTTTTACTTTCTCCCTCGCTACGGCCGGGGCTAGCCTAACCTATACCAGTGTGACAATGGTAACGGGTGCTCGTGTATAGAAAGACCTGCCGAAAGACGATGGAAGCACCAGCAGTGCCGAGGAGGTAAAGCCCAAGAGTCTCGCCACAGCACAATCGGACTACAGAGAAAGCAGCTATGGTCTGACGAGCATGGGCCTCGATGACGACACAGACTCGTTGTTCGCGACCAGTTCGTGCGTCCACTTGAGTTACGTCCCACCGGACAAGCTCTGTGCGACGGACGACGAGGTGACCGCGAGGATGGCCGTAGACTTTGCCTCGGACGAGTCGCAGCACCTCGAGAGCCATGGGGCTCCAGAGTTGGAGGATGAGTCGCATCAGGGCATTGAATACCGCTCGTACAGGCACAAGATCATGGAGAACGTCTTGAAGAAGTACTACGAGGACCTGCCACCCGGCCACGTAGTCATGAACTCAATACACCTGAACGCGTTCGAGGAGATCGGCACCGACGTACGCCCGAGACATAACTATAACCCCTTCGCGGTGTCCGCCGAGGGTGTGGAAACAAATTGAAAAAAATCACCCACCACCAACTCCCCGCAGGTCCACGATCTGGATTTTTTCGGCTTTACGGTGGACCTGTGCGACCTGGCGGAAGCGAGGAAGCAGAAGGACGCGGAGTACATGCACCCGCTGGACCACTTTCTCGTGCGGGGCCCCAAGAGCTCGTTCACCGTGGAGAAGGGGGTCGAGACCAAGGACTGGCTCGACGGAGCTTCCGACGCTAAGCCCGAGTTTACGCTTCCGGAGGCCTGCAAGCTCCCAAGGACGCCTAAATCAAGGTCCTTGCCCTTCGAGAAGCTCGAACGCTTTGTTTTTTTTTTTTTCCCTTCTCCTCGTCTGATCTTTGGGGTGTACTCACACAGGCACGAGGGCGAGGAGAGACCGAAAACCACCGGCAGCAGGACCTACTGCTCGAGCCTTGGGAAGCCAAAGACGCAGCTCGGCAAGGTGGCCAATGCGCCCGACGTTCTCAAGATTGAGCGCGACGACAGCATAACACGGTTGATATATTGTCGCCCTGTATCGAGCTTGTTAAAAAAAAAAAAAAAAAAAAAAAAAGAAAATTGTAAAACGAATCTGCAACTCCGGATAGGCCGTTGACGGGTGACAGCTCGAGCGACCTGTGCAGCTCGACGACGTACGAGGAGGGCCGCCGCTCGCGCCGCATCAAGGACGACAAGGACGGCAAGCGTATCTGGGTTGTCCTGCGCCCCGAGTCCCTGAACCGCAAGTACAGCACCAAGTCGCGGGCCGAAGACTTTTCGGAGCGCCTGCGCTCGCGGTCAGTCTACCGCAAGCATACGGCCCGAGCCCCGACAACCTCTGCCAACTCCAACGCCGATCCGCCGGCCAACAACTCCCTGGTGCCCGAAACGAAGCCCACGATGACTGGGAGCGACGCGGGCTCGCCCGGCCGGCAGCAACAGAGCATGCACAAAAAAACTGAGGTGCTGCAGAAAGTGACGATGCTGACGAGCTCGAGCATCGACCAGCATCAGGAAGAGAGCCCGTCTGGGAAGAAGAGCACCGGCAGGGTGCAGGGCAAGGTCACCAACGAGCCGAGGAGCGATCGAGGTCGGTGGTCTTTTGTCGGACCTCCTACGGAGTGCATGCCTCACGTGCCCCCCCTCCTCTAGAAGCCCAGCTGGAGAAGGTCTTAAAGGCCGAGTCGGTGGCGAGCAGCGAGAAGGGCGGGTCCACGAACCGAAGGAACTCCCGGCTGCCCCTGCCGAAGCAGAGCGCGAGCAAGGCCGGGCCAGAGGCGGGCAGTACCGATATGGGCAAGAGACGCTCGTCGGCGGACTCCAACGACACGTACACCGTCAGCCAGTCGAGGTCTCAGCGGCCGAGGACTTCGAGCGGAGTGCTTGGCCGGCCGGGCTCGAGGAAACGCAAAGAGTCCACCGGTGCCCTGGCTTTGGCCGAGAAAAAGCCCACCCTTGACAACAACAAAAAGACACTAGTGAGGAGCTACCGGGGATCGATTAATTTCCCCGTGGAAGCGTTGACTTTGGCTTTTTTCCGTTCAAGGCCGTGAAGAAGCTGGCGAGCGATGTCCAGCCCCCGAGGGGCAAGCAACTCGCCGAGCTCCAGCCCGTGGAAAGCAGCGTAAAGCCGCCGTTGACGCGGTTCACGCGCCCAAAGACGACCACCGGAGCGGCCAACAGGGAAGCGGCGAGGAAGATCGGCTCGGTGAACCACTCGATCGAGAGCACGGAGATCGAGATGGACGGCTGCGGTGGCTCGCGGAGGTCCAGCTGGTACCTCGAGTTCAACACCAACGGGGAGGCACTGAAGACCACGGCAAACACGATCGCAGCCACTAGCAGCGATAAACCGGCGAGCAAAGTAATGTTTCTTCATAAATCAGCTATAGTCGTGCGTTATTGGTGATGACTATGAAAAAAAAAAGGATCTGGTGAAGAGTACCGCATTATTGGCACGGAGGAGCCCGGTGAAAAGGAACACGGAGCTGTCTCTGAGGAAGCCGAAGCCGAGCGAGAGTGAACAGGCCGAAGCCAACAGGTCAAGCTTGACCGCGAAGCTGAGGATCGCCATGCTCACCGAGAGGAAATGGACCAACAGATCGTCGGTAATGTTTACGGAGGCACCGAGTCAATTTACGGGGAGGCGGGGGTGGAAAATAAGAATGTCTCGTTGGGGTTCTGTGCGCTCTAACGACGTCTCGTCTCTGTGTGCGAAGGCCAACGAGGATCCGAGAGGGGGCGTGCAGCGTGAGTGCGGCGGGGGCAACCCAAGAGTCAAGGAGGCCGTCGATCGAGGCCTTAGGGCTTACATAGAGAAGCTCAAGCTCGCCCTTGCCGAGAGCGCCGGTGGTGGCCAGGAAGACGGCTCCGAGCAGGTGTCCAAACTGGCGAAGCTCAGCCTGAGCGAGGCCATTGCTAACGATTTTGCGGGAGACGTCAGTGCCGAGGACATGGGCGAGCTTAAGTACATACTCCAGAACGCGGAGGACAAGTTCAATAGGAGCGCCAGCAGCGATCAGTACCCCTGCAGTGACAATCTGGAAATCGCGGGATCTTAATCATGATTGCCGTTGTTTGATTTTATTTATTTTTTTTTGTTTTTCTATTTATTTATCGTGAATTGAAAATTGATTGGTGTAATGGTGTTTTTTTTTTTTTTTTCCTTATTTTTTTGTTTTTCCTCTACTTTTAAAGCGCAGATTTGTAAAGGCTATTTTACTTTTGGAAATAAAACCAAACGATTAATTCCCGTGTGTCGTGTGTTGTGTGTGGCGATAACGCTGGAAAACCTTGCTCGTCCGCAAGGAGGTGAAGGTAGAAATCAAGGTTCACCGAGTCGCGATGCGACGCACACTGGGCGATTTGCAATTTTAAGTCGCGTGAGCGATGCATCAGCCCGTGACGTGACTGTCGCTGGGAGAGTTGGCGGGTCTCGGGTGAGAAGCTTAACCCGTGACGTATGCGTTCGTGCTTTGGAGGACGAAAAGCGCAGCGCGTCACGCATACGGTAGCAGTATACGGATGTGCGGGGGTAGGTGCACACTTCTCGAAAGCTCACACCATCGTTCCTAAAAACTCGCGTTTTGAGTACTTTATTCGAAAGACAAAGATCGATCGACGTGATTGATTAATGCTTGTGTTTGATTGCAGGTTGGTAAATAATTGATAACCAGAGTAAACAAATTTGACCGATAAACAATTATCATTGCGATTTGGTGATTCTCATCGCCGAGTGTATACACAATTATACGTAATGTATACTAACACAATTTGTCCAACGTAAAGTGCACTCGTGTACGCATAGTGCATAATGTATAATGTTATGTACTTATACCCTTTTCACATTAATTATTTGCAGTTGTTGTATATGTTCTTTCAATTAACCGGTTGATAATTTATCTGGGACGTCTGAACGTGAAAAATATAACTCGTCCACAAAGCACGGAAATAAAAGCTGACCTCCGATCGATCTAAAAAGGAATTTTTCACCCCTAGCTTCGTGTTGACTTTGTTTTTCTAAGGAAATAAAAAAAAAAAAAAAAAAAAAAAAAGCTTGAGCATGCCTCAGAAGACAAGTTTTAGAAAAAAAAAAAAAAATTATACCGAAGCACCTGGGGCGTTCTTTGCAGACAGTAGGCAACACCAAGAGTACCACCGTTACCAGCAACTGCAGCGTCATCAGGCCTTGATCCATCGACAGCAGCAACAACAGCAACAACAGCAGCAATTGCAGAGACCGAGGGAGCAGGTCTACTACCCGCACAGGCAGACTAGGTTGCTTCAGTCCAGACAGCCGTGCTGTCCTAATTGAAGACCGCACGAATATTTTAATATGTGTTTTTTGGTGATTGACGAGATTTTGTGGCGAATGATCGATCGGTCGAGTTATTTTTTGATTAATTTTTTTTTTTTTCATAAATTGAACTTGTTTGACTTTTTTTTAAGTGTGTTTTTTTATGTGATTTTGTACGATAGAGTTTAAGTTTGTAATGCCATCAAATATCATAATAAGTTTTTATAATTAGTCTAATCGATCACGAAATCAATGTTTTATTCGATACTTTTTTTTTTTTTAAATTTAGTTACAAAGTTGATTGACAGTTGATACATGTAATTGTTTTTAAATTTTTTAATTTTATCAACATATTTTTTATTTGATTCTTAAATATCAGCCCGTTATTTAATATGGTAACACTAAGTACAGAAAAAATGAAAATTATATAAATACATTTTTTGGAAAATTAAAAAAAAATTTGTACATGTTATCCAATTAGAATAATTTTCAGTTCAACTTACTAGTTAGATAATTGCATAAAATAAAATAAAAAACCATAAAGCATAAGCTGTTTTTTTCTTATAAAATTGTACTAATTCGATTGAAAAAATATAATTACGTACTTCTTTATTAGCAGTTACAGGTGTGTTCGTTTTTCGCAATTAATATTGACAATTACAATAGTTTTTTTGTCATTACCATAACATTACATAACATTAATAAAATTTCGAATCTGAAGCTCAAAATGGGAATTTCGCAAAATTATTGGACTCGAAACAAACGGTGGTTTTTATGCACTATTTACCAAGTGTACATTTTTTTTATTACTCGAAATAGTTACAAAGGTGTGAAAATTTCAGTAGGCCACGAATACAACGTCACTTACTAATTTAATTATTTTCAACATTTTTTCAAAGTACCTGAAAAGGCGTCCCCATCAAACAACTTAAATATATAGAAGTATAAAAAAATTTTTAAACTACCGTGTTGACAATATACACCACTTATAGTGAATTTTAAAAATGTGACAAGTGAAAGCTGTGATATTACAGATTGCTTTTTTCAATTTCCACCTAAAAAATAATTTAAATGGTATTATATTTATAATTTTTGTCTCGGAAAAACATCTAGGCATTCAAACAAAAATATACACTAAAAAAAAAACGGCCAGTATAGCTTGGCTGCATATGGCTACTGTAGCCTGTCGACCCAAGCAGCTACTTTCAGGCTATAAGTTAGCCTGTGAGGCAAATATGACCGGTCACTAACTGAGTACTGTATGCTTCGGCACGTTGGCGTCGGCTGCCAAGCTGAATCTGCTCATGCAAAAATATGCATTGCAATATAAAGAAAGAACTTTTATTATGCTACTCTATATAAGAATATACTCTATATGAATTTCAAGACACTTGGTTATTACAAGAATCCTGAAAAGACCAAACAACTGATTGATGAAGAAGGTAAACCTACTTTTTGAATAACTGATGTGACTATAATAGTTTAGCTACAGTTCTGTGTGTAATACTCTATAAATTTATAGTTGGATACTTAAGGAACATCTAAGTACCAGTCTCGTGTACGTATTATACTTACGCTGCGTTTGTTTTAATTTTTAATTGTATCCTCGGCTCTACAGCACTTTTCTCGTTGAAAAAATTTGTCTATTGCTATTTCCGTGTTTTTTTATGACTCTGTGCATACGAGGTGAAACAAGTGGCGCGTGTGACGGTTCTAAGTATAGAACAACTGACGGAACAAGAGTTTTCGCTTAGTCCTCGGAAACTCCCGGAAAATTGAAAAGAAGCGAATATCCAAAGTGACACGAGAAACTAGTCTGGCGCAGAGTAAGCCAACTTTGTTAAACAGATTAAGAATTAGGGAGGAGAGAAAAAAATCCCTCCCCTGGGGTGGTGTCAGGAACGCGAGAAAAATTCCGCGGGGATCTATTCAGGGCATCTTGGCGAAAAAAAAAACAATGAAGCTAGAGATCCCATTATTCTTCGTGGCGCGTCTTAATTAGATCCGCAGCTTTAGGTGCTCGTCTTTCCTATGGTCTACCCTTACTTATCCTCATCTCCATTTTCCGAGAAAGTCAATTTCAAAATCGCCGAGTCTAAACGATCGAAGGGTGGGGGGAAGGGATGGGCGTGCAATTTAGAAGACTTCCTAAACTCATGAGGTATTTATCGGTTGGTGATGGTAGAGTAGGCGATTTTTTCGTATGTTATTATTTTTATGTAAATGCATAGCCAATACATTTTTATGGACCAGATAAATAAAAGTATTAAAAATCTATTTGTAGATTTTAATTGTGTAAGTCATACGAGAAAGTAGTATTGCTGGTTGGTGCTCCTACTCACTTAACATATTTGATGACCGCGTGCTGTACGAGCGGCGCTGGCATGAAGGTGCCATTTATGCAGGAAAGGTCGCCACGCAGCTCGTCTTCGCTCTCTGGTGGGGCCATGGGCTCCATTGACCTCAAAGACGAGGATGGGGATGGTTCAGGAATGAACTGTCCACGATCGGGGCTCTGCACCTGCTCCTGAAGAGGTGCACATGGCCGTGAAAAACAATCCTTGCCCCAAAGAACCACGTGTATTATATACATGCAGTTAAGAACCCAAATATGGCCCAATGACCTTATTCCTGGCCAGACTCGAGCTCTGCATGTAGGCGTTGTAGTCCTTGATGGTCCTCTGCAGTACCTCGTTCTCCATGTCCAAGATCGGCAGGTCCTCGTCCGTCCTCGAGTAGCCTAGCATCCTTTCGGGGTCAAATGGTGCACTAGGCTCCTTTGTCACCTTAGTGATACGCTGCTTGTGATATTGGGTGGTAGGATCTTGTAGCACAGGGATATACGGTTCTATCCTCAGCTGGGAAAACAATCTGGACGACGAGGTCGCGTTCATGACACCTGTACGTTTTGCTATACACCCTCATTCGCTAGTTATATGACATGACGCGTCTTCATTTAGTCCCCTCTATCCATGTTAAATCTCATAAAGAAAAGTAGTTAAAGCGGCAGTCATCAACGACTCAGTCCCCCAGCCCATAGGGCTGCGTGTTCAAGTGACCCCTAGTGTCAACCCTCCCCTTCAACTTATTGACTTAGCGAATAAACAGAATCTTTGTACTTACCGTGCCCTATCCTTTCACTACCTACTTTTTGTAAGGACTCTTTTCAAGGCAATATCGTTCTTGTAGAGTGAACTTTTTAACACATCGATTCTGCCTTTCCCTCAATACCTTCAGCCTATTTTTATTGGCTTTGGTTATTTGGATTGTATTTTTTTTTCTTTAGTTTATCTTACCTGATTTTACTTACAAACAAGTGGTAATGATGATGGTGTACAGGTCTTTGGCTGATTTGAAAAACATAAAAAAAAGTTATGAAACAAAATCTACGAAAAATTTAATTCTATTACGAAGGATGAGTTAGTTACTATTTGCAGTTCTTTATTTAGTTGTCCCTCTAACAATGCAAATGGATTTCTACGTTTGTTTATATTTATTATTTTCATTACGAGCATTTTAATCATTATAATGATTTTCATGGAATGGAGAAAAAAATCAAATATTCGGTCCACAATTCTTTATTAATTTGATTAAAGATAAAAACGAAAATTTCTTATAATACGGTGATTTTATAATTATTGTAGTTTTTATTACACAACTGTCTTCTTCTTCTGAAAATTTTCAATCACAACACACATCTACATTTAATACTGTCAAAGTTTCACATAGGTTTGGTATTAGAGACTTAGCCATCTTAAAATAATTTTATTACTTGAAATACAAATATTACTAAGTTCTAAATCTTTCCAATTTATTATTATAATATTACAACACTTTAACATTGTGTGGTAGTTTTTATTGTAAAAAATATGCTTATACTTTACGTGTTTACAATACTAGAATAAATATATGTTTATAACGAATCTTTGGAATATATTTATGTATATATTAAAATATTTTGAGTTCTGGTAATCTTTAAATGAAATAAGTAACTGTTAAAATTAAAGTGCGAAACATCACGTGCTCATATGTCGTAACGATACGAAAAGAGTCAGGATTAAGTGCATACTTTCATTTAAAAATTAAATTTAACAAAACCTTTTATTTTTGTATTATATGTGTGTGGCAGTAAAGGGTTTCAGTATCTTTAGTATGATAAGTTTAATCCACCGTTGCAATATTCATAAATATTTACACATTACTTGTACCTTACCAATATAGCGGGAACGGTTCTGCCAATCAGTAGACAATTAGTATCAACTAACAGACACAAATTACCCGATCAAACTTCAAATTCCAAACGAGCTGTTTATAAACTGCTTGAAAATAAAAAAATTTAAAAAACCGCTCGGATAGTCAGTACAATAATGAGCAACTCGGCTTCTCTGCGTAGCCTGAAGTCAGTGGCATCAGATTTGTTCGGCTCACATCAGCGTCGTGGTCCGCAAAAAATCCATTAGCGTTTCTCTTGGTAGCGAAAAATTGCGACCAAGCCATCCTCGCTTTTTCCCTCCCATAATTTCCATTTATATTGCCTTCCAGTCCAGGACTTTCCTCACCTCGTCGACGGTGACATTTATTTTTTTTTTTCTGATTTTTTTCATTTCTTTTATTTAACCGCTAACTGGTCGCAGCACAACAGTGAAGATGCACTTGGTAGTCCAGCCAGCGTCATCTGCCGCCTCGTACTCAATCTTGTGCCCACCGATGCTGAAGGTGCGACCTGGACTCTGTGAACACCAAAGTGTTTTCTTTTTCTTTTTCTTTCCTTTTTTTTTATTTTTTTTATTTTTTTTATTTTTTTTGCTATCGCATTAAAAATTAATTTTCAAGGGGAAAAAACGTCTCGTTGGAGACGAATTTTCACAGCTGGACGAGCTTAATTTTTACGAATCGCGAATAATTAGGGCCCCCTTTTTCCCTTGCATAAACGAGTTTGCTGCTTATTAAGGCCAAGTTTTAATTGCTTTTCTTGCCACGGTGAATTTCTGACTGTAGAATTTTTTCTCGGCCATGTTTTCTTTTACCGTTTTTCACGCGGTGCTGTTTTTTTTTTTTTTTTTTTTTTTTCCAACAAGTTTGCGGCTCACTCAGACGGAATTAATCATGATAAAAATGCTTATTGCGATCTTTTCAATTAATTTTGTTTCTTTTCTCCAATTTTCATTCAAAATACTGTCCAAAACATCGCGGGTAACGTGAATAAATTTTTTTCGTACATAGTACACGCTCTGGCCTTACATGAATTTTCGCGCCAACTGGATAAAATTGCCAGAAGTTATTCAATTTTCAAAATGAAAAGTTACACGCGACACTTTTGCACCTCATTTAATTAAAAGAATCATCAATTGTCTCGCCCGACGATGTTTTAGCAGAATTAAAAAACTCGCGAGCGACAGAAACAGGTAATATGTTTTTACCAAGCGAACTTTCATCATTTCATAAATCAAAGTAACGTAGCCCTGCGGTAAATTTCCACCGAGAGCTTTCCCGACCGCTTCAAGCCGGCCACTTAATTAATGTTTGAGCGATTCACAAATCAACGAGCCGCGAAAAAATCGATCGGCCGAAAAAAGAGTGCGGCTGACCGCGTATAGCTCAAGAGAGATCGCGCGTTCAATTAAAAGTTTAGCGAGCAAGAATACCAACTACTGCAGTACACCGGATCCCGAGGCAAGTTGTCGTCGAAGCGGAAAACCGTACGTCGGAAGGGCTCCCGTGGCTGCAGAAACTCCCAACCAAGGGGAGCCTCAAGTTTTTGCGGCAGAAACCCCAGAAAGACTTTTTCCGCTCGTCGGTGCCACCGTCAACTTTTGCTCGGTAAATAAAAACAGGCAGCTCCTTCTTCACCGCTGCGAAATTGCCCGTAACTAATACATCTCGCGCTTCCTTGCGTCCACGAGCAAGTGAACAACGCACGAGAAAAGAAGCAATTTCCATCCGTCGCAGCTCGTCTCTCTTTTTTTTTTTTTTTTTTTTTTTTTTTTTCGAGCCATCATCCCCGCATATTGCTTGCAAGCTGCACGCAAATGTCATCTTTTGTTTCTACTCCGCTTTAGCTTTCATGTTAATTGCTCAATTCGGACTAAAAATAATGAGACGGCGTATCGATAACGCTCATGATTCATGGGTCGCACGTGTCTTTTTGTCCAAGTCCTTGACTTGGAAAATTGACCGATTGACTATCGCTTTCTGCTTTCACGCGTTATCTTTGTTTCTTTTGTGTCATCCAATTGAGATAACACACGATACTTTGTGGCCGATAACAAAAGTATGTATATATAATTACCTCGTTGCTTGTCACACGAGTGACCTTGACGTTATCCGTGAAAACCGGCTCGATCCATGTGATCGCCGAGCCATTTTTCCCCGTGATCTCGATATCTCCTGGGCAACCCTGGACCTTCGGTGCTTGTCCCTCTGAAAGATGAAAAAAAAAAAAAAAACTCATCTCCCCCGTATTTTTATCGGCACCATTGTATCCGGACAAACGAATGCACTTCCCGAATCTAGAGCACCCGTTAATTTTACAGAGCAGAATAGGTGAGTTTAATATAAATGCGCCCTCCCTCGGCATTGCGATGTTTCTGTATATGCATACGCGAATCCAATGCCCAAGCCGTCCCCAAATGAAAATACTTTGGATGGTTGTGGTACGCTTCCCACCGTCGCGTGCATTGCTTAGATTCTCCGAAGAGCCGCAAACATCTTTCCTTTGTGTCCTCCCCTCCCCCCCCCCGACACGTGTATGCACTAATTGGAGTTCTTTACAGGAAAATTGATACGAAACACGAATTTTTGGACAAAAGAGAGTTATTTAGTTGTACTGTGTGTGGGTGCATCATCTATCTTTTATTATCCGTCCGGCGATTAATTGAATACATCCAGCCGGCACGCGCGAGGCGCTAACTTATTTGAGTTGCGGATTATTTTGCAGGGGACAGCTGCTGTTCAAGCTATACACGTGCAACTTTGTTGCTGTTGTTGAAGCTCCTGCTGAGAAAAATTTCCGTCTTTTTTCTTTTTTGTTTTTGGGCATCGCTCACAGCTGGAGATGCTTCGGTGCTATACATACCTATTTCAGCATCGTATATAATTGATAGTTATTGTTATTACGCCTGTTTTTAGTTTTACTAGGAAGCGATTAAAAATTATCGGTCGATAACAAATTGTAAAAGTGTTGGAAAGCTTTGTCCCGGCAAGCGCGCTATTGCTGAACCGACGTGGCGCCAAAGTGGGTCAAACGAGTCAATTTTTAAATTGAAGCTAAAAAAAACGTGGCCAACTGAATTATACGAAATCAAGCTCACATTGAACTAAAAATGCTTTCTTTTTTTTTTTGCACAGCTAAGCGCTGCTTTTACATTTAAGTGGCTCCTATAAAACGTTTTTACGTCCCTTCAAGGAAATTAAAATATTTAACGCTGGCGGAAAAAAAACAGAGCATCCATACAACCAGAGATTATCAAATGAGATGGGCGCAATTGCTTTTACTTGAAAAAATATAAATGAGCTTTCGCTGCCAACGAATGAGCTTGTTTTCCCCATCGTGTTTTAGGAAATAAAAAGTTTACCTTGAACGTTGATCTTGAGGGTGCAGGTGGCCTGCTTCTTAGATACCGGATGCCGGGCCAAGAAGGTGATCTCGTGGGTGCCCCTCTTGAGATTGGCCTCCAGCCTCGTGCCCCAGGACGGCTTCGAGCGCACGTAGCGGAACCAATCCAGATCCGTCGATGGCTGGTCGTATGTCACGAAAGCCTCGTCCCTGCCCGGGGGCAGCTCGGCAATCACGTCCTTCGGACAATCCAGCCTCGGCTTGCTGTACCCTGAAAACCACAAAATCCCAACGCCGTCTTACTTTGTTGTTCCCACCGAAAAATGGTACCTCGACCCGAGACACTTACGTAGGCACTCGCCGTGTTTGGGCCCGTCCCAGGTGCCATCGGCCAAACAGGTGAGCTCAAACTCCCCGTGAAGCTCGTACCCACGGGGACACTTGAGGTGACACTTTGTCCCGGGCTTTTTCCGCTCCACCTTCTCGTCCTCCTCGCCGTTCGTCCTCTGCTGTTGTTTTTGCTCCTCCTCCTCCTCCTCCCCCTCGTCGCGCTCTTCCTGCTCGTAGGTCTCGGTGGTCGAGGGATATTCATAGCCGGTGTCCGAGCAGATGAGCTGACCCCGGCCCGCTGGGTTGAGGAGCGAGCACGTGACGCCGCTAGACTCGCGGAAGCGCAACCCCAGCGCCGCCGACTCGCGGTCCATACTCGGGAAACGCTTCCCAGGCACTGTGATGCACGAGATAAGCTGACCTTTATTGGTTGTATAGGTCATTGGTCGTGCATACACGGAGGTAAGTGCATATGGAAGTAGCTCAAGGGACTGGAGTAACGTGCGTGGAGGAGGAAGCACGTTGCTGGGGTACTAAGAAAATCAGATGGGCGAGTCCTCACCTACGCAGCTCCGTCTGTCCGGGGCCAGGACTCTCTCGTCGCCCTCGCAGGCACAAAAGTAGCTGCCCTCGGTGTTCTCGCACACCTCGCTGCAGCCGCCGTTCTCTATCGAGCACTCGTCTACGTCTGAAAGAACGCAAGAATAACAGCGGGCATCAAGAACTTTTTTTTAAATTCATCTCTTTATTTCAATGGCCCTTTTACTGGGCCATTTTTCATCCTGAATCGAATGAAAAATAGCGAACCGACCAAGTATACCAATGATTACGAGCTCCAGGTGGTGCACATATATGGTGATCGGTAAAACTTTCAATTGCGCACACTTGTTGCAACCCATTGTGAAAATGAGGAGAAGTTTAAGAAGCTCGATTCTAAAAACTTTTGCAGGCGTGAAACCTCATCAATGGTACATTGATCATACCCAGGGTACCCACGGGACTATATATATCATGCGCTTGTCGTCGCCGTTATTGTTGGCTGGCATCCCGAATTCGTAGCCCCTGAGCAGCTGAATTTCTCCCGCGAGGAATGTCTTTGAGCTCGTAATCGCGGAGCGCGATTTATGAATGCATTATGTTGCTTTTTTTTGCTCTGTTCGCTCCGTAAACACCTGCAGAGGTAAACAAAGCGTTATTGAAACTGAGCCAGGGGCCCCGGAGCTGGCGCAGCGCGTTCTGTTTATGCTGCAGAATATTTTCGGGCTTTCGCGGGGAGAGCAATCAGTGACGAGGAGGTGTGCACGCCAAGCGGAACGCTTTGACCCGAACAGACGCGAATTACACACTCGCCCGCAGATAAAGAGAGAGAGAGTCTGGAGGGAGCTTTGTTTGCTCCCCCAAGTATATTTTACGGCTCTTCAGGTGCTGCACTTCCGCTCCAGAGACCCGTTTCCTGATTGTTTAAATTGCTATTCACTAACTGTGTTTTGCGTTTTACCACTCCTCTGGGGTTTTTTTTTTTTTTTTTTTTTCCCTCTTCATCCCGATGTCGATTGCAATGAGTAAAGTGCCGTTTTTTTGGGTCGGAGCGTTAAATCTTCTCTATCGATTCGTTAGAACAATTATTGGAAATAAAGGTTAGATGTGCGTAATTGTGATCTCAATCATACCAAAGGCCTGTCGGTTCGAGGAAACTTATATGCCCTATACGTGACGAGGGTAATGGTCCGACAATTTTTCGATAGAAATAAAACATAGGGGATAAGCAACTTTTTAGTAATAATCCTTTTTACTTTTTTTTCCTTCAGATGACTCAAGATCAAGATGTTGTTGAGATAGAGACCATCCGTGGCTCAGAGGAACTGAGCTCAGCGTGTTTCACGCTTCCTCGTCATGTTTACGAAACGCGAAAGTTGCAACCCCATCTGGACACGCGCTTTTATCTGTTTTATTTGCTGTATAAAGTTGTTTTTATCCAAAATTGCATTGCGACTGTATTGCCAGTCTCTGTGAAGTAAATTTTTGGAAAATTTAGGATGCCCCTGTGAGTCTTCGGAATCATTGCGATTACCACTGGCAGAAACTATTGTACATTCATTCAGATTTTCCCCTCTAAATATCCATTTTACTTATGCTTTTTCAGAAACTGTATTTCTCTTGCTCAGTATCAACGTTAATAACTAAATTGAAATAAAAAAACTTCGTACATCAGGCTTCCACAAGCTTCTATGATAAATGGAGTATTATAATAGTAGTTATCATCACTTTTATAGTAGATAGCGCAATAAATGTTCAAATACGTAAAAAAAAAAAAAAAAAAAAAAAATTGCTGAAGGTAGCAAAATTGAATTTTCTTACTTTTGATTATCAATATTTTATTAGATTGGATAGAAACAGTATTAAAAAAAAAAGTTTTAAATAAAAATGCGACATAATGTAAATCCAAATGAGTGAATTTCAGCCTTTGTGTAATACGAATAAAAGAAAAGAAATTCTTTCACCTAAGGTATTTTTTTAACTTTAGGCGTTTTCGCACTTTTGATACAAAAATTAATAGCGTTTGTCATACTAACGCTGTCCAACCCAGGCTTTCAAAACGTGTGTCAAAATTTTCTCCATTCGTATATACTATACACCATATTAATGAAACGGTAAAAAGATTTAAAAAACTTTGAAACACGAGGAGTTGCAAAGAGTATAAGTAATAATAACAAAGAAAACGATGGAAAAATTCTACACATTCAAAAATTCCAAGATTAAGTACATGTGTTTTTTTTTAATTTAAAATTAATTTAAATTTTGTTAAAGGTATATGTTTTTATTGAAATAATAGAAAATCTAAGGGATAAAAATGGATACTATATTATTCAACTTTAATAGTTCATGAATTTTCCAATTTGCGATCGTAAGCAAATTTTTTGAATTGAATTGCTTGAGTTTTATAAATATACAAGGGTCAATTGTTAAAGTGTATACTCCGAATTAGGAACATTTTAGAAGTCTTTAGTTAACAGCTATAAACAGGGCTATCTTGTTTTAAGTACGATTTCTAAATAGTGGAGGATCCAAATTCCGAAAAGTAGTATACATATACTTAGACCTTATCTATTTTTATATTGTATCTCATTTCAAGAATTTTACTTATCGTACATTATTCATTTATGACAAATAGTTTCAAAACTAAGTTATTTCTTTAATGCTTATCTTATCCTTTGTGAGAACTTCCCCTACTTTATTTCTAAGTCACACGGCCAATGGGCTGGACACACGTTAACGTTATCTAAGCATACGTTATACCCCCCCATTTTACCAAATAGACATACTCTCTTAGTTTTGGTGATAGTATAAAAGGTACCCTCATCGCCACGGCGTCAAATCACAACTGTAGCTGTTGCCTTCAACAACTGTTTTCAAGCAGCAGATTTATAATTTAAAAAGCATACTGCAAGGTAAGAAAATCTAACAAAGACTAATTTTGATCGTAACAAAACTGTCCTGATTTAATTGCATATGTATTGTTTTTCTGTGTTATTTTTAATTATCCTTTGTTCCCAACATTTCGATTCTCTAATATTTTTTATTAAACATGATTGTTATATTTTTTCTTCTACAAGTATCCTACAATACCGTTAAAAAACTGCCGCTTTGTGCCCTCGAGTCACACTTTGCGTCCTTGAAATCACTTTGGGATCACGGGAAGAAAAGTATTTTGGGGGGTCCAAAGTGATTTACTAGGCGCAAAGTATACCCACGGGTGCAAAATCGCACTTTGCGTCCTCAGTAAGAAAAACATTATACGCGACTCGGGCACCAATCTACAACAAGCGCGGCCTTCGGATGCTCGTGTTTTTACTTTGTGCCCTAGTGACGTAATAAACTAATTTTTCACTAATAATTTTTCAATCGAAGTAGTTTTGATAATAATTTACCCAATAAACAATTTTTCATTGACATTTAGAGTTGCCAGTTGATTTAGATTGCTAGAAGATTTATAGATTGCACTTACATAAAAAAATAAGAATAATACGAAAGATAAGCTATTTTCAACTAGATGAATTTAGTGTATTATATAATGCTTGTGAATAAGCTTGTATGTTGTAATTTCTTTTTTTTTCATTTATTGTAGTGTATCGACTTGCTCCTCTTTTTTACTTTCTAAGTACACTGAGTCTTTTAAAAATTATTATATTTTTAAATGCGTAACTTTTTTTGAACACTTACAACAAAAAAACGAATTATTTTAACCAAAAGTGGAACCCACAAATTATTGGAGGTTTTCCTCGTTTCTATGCATGTATTTTCAAAATCGACCAAGTAGATTTTGAAATAATTTTAGACAGGATAACTAATAAAGATTTTAGATACTTTCTAATGTCATTTCCAGTTGCAATTCTTGCATGTGGATATTAATATCAACAAGCAAATACAATGCGTAAAATTATTATTCATTTCTTTTGTTTTTGTCACCAGATGTCTGCAAAATTTATTATTCAAGATAATGTAATAGTGGGGAATGCGGTGCCAATTCCACCAACATGCAGTATTTCGGTATCACTTTTTGATTCACTGACCACATATCCGGATTTCGTAGGCCAGGTATTTAAAAAATATCAACGATAAAAAAATCATTAATCAATTTTTGTTGGTAAAAAAATATTTACATTTATTTATAGATTATTGGAGAAACTGGAGAAAAAGTTACTTTTGCTGAAATGAAAGATCAGAGTGTAAGATGCGCTTTATGGTTAAAACAACAAAATGTTGGGAAAGGAGACTTCGTTTGTTACTCAACTCCTCCTCAAAAAGACGATTCCATACCGGTGTTGGCTACACTATTCGTTGGGGCTATTTGCAATCCTTGGACTGCTGCCATGACACCCGGTAAATTTGGATATAATTCGTTAGTAATTTTTCAACTATTAAATAAACCTTATTTTTTTACAGAAGTAACACGACGTTTTTTTGATACGTTCAAACCAAAAGTAGCTTTTGCTTGTGAAAATTCGATTGATCGGCTAGCTGAAGCAGCAAAAGATACAAATGTTGATTGCAAATTCGTGGTTTACGGACAGCACTCAGAATACCTATCATTAAGAAATATACTAGCAGAGCAAAAACAAGATGAAGTTGATAACTTTTATCCTGAAGAAATCCATGATCCAGAGAATCAAGTTGGTCTAATATTGTTTACATCAGGAACTACTTGCGATCCAAAAAACGTTATGATATCTTATGATTGCATCGCTAAACACCGTTGTAAGTTCTGGCACATACCAGAGTGCAAATCTGCATTATGGTATCAGCCTTTATCCTATACTTCAGGATTCTTTCCTGTACTGGCTTGTGTTCAGCATCGTGTAACACGAGTTATGCATAGACAATATGATCCCATAGAAACGAGTAATATGGTCAAGACGTATAAGGTTTCTTGTAAATTATTATTATCGAGACTGATTTTGAACAATATAATAAACAAATATATGTACGTAGGTTGAATGGTTGAAAGTTCGCCCTAATTTATTGCCGGAAATGTATGATGCAAAGGTCTTCACTCAAGAGAATTATGCTTCAGTTAAATTTATAGTTGTTGGAGGAATGAAATGCAAGCAGCAAACTGTCGATGGCATCCGCAAAGCTCTACCTCAATGTCATTTATCTAGTACTTACGGTAATGTTAACTATTTTGAT